CCGAGCTAACGGCGTTTGCCCAGTGGTCGTGCCTCCTAATGGCTCGCAATGCCCGTCCGTCGCGAAATATCTCGACCTGACAGGCTGGTCGAGACTGCCGGTTCAGTTACGGCGACGAGCGCGTTTCGAATCTTCGTTCCCGAGCCTGTTGCTAAAAATAGACCCAATCAATTTGGCCAATAAGGGCGCATTTCGCTCGTGTTTTGTAACAGCAGCCGAGGCCCGAGGAGGGCGGGAGCGCGCGCGGCCTCCGCCTCTCGCCTCGCCGGCGGCCTGCCTCGATTCAAGCTGAGCTGAGCACACGAGCACGGCCGCCCGGCGGGCTCCGCGCGGCGCCCTCGCAGCCTCCGCCGCCGCAGGCGCCCCTCGCCGCGGCCCTCGAGGAGGCCCTCCCCTCGCAGGGGCTGGTCCGGAGTGCCGCGCGGGGCGACACTGATTGCTACTAGTGGTACAAGTCACACACACAATATATATACATATAATATATATACATATACATATAATATATATATATATATATATATATATATATATATATATATATATATATATATATATATATATATACATATAATATATATATATACACACACACATATATATATATATATATATATATATGCATATATGTGTGTGTATGTATGTATGTATGTATGTATGTATATGTGTGTGCGTGCGTGTATGTGTGTGCGCGTGCGTCCGCGTGAGCGCTAAAATGGAACACGGCAGGTTCGCTGATCCCAAAGTTAGACGTTAGATGAAATCCTTTCGTTACGCACTCACAAAATCCTCTCCGCTTAAAAACGGTCATGTATAATAAATATCAATTCGCAGGGAAAACTTTGCAACACCGCGGCTTTGTTCCGGCAACAATAGTTTCGGTGATCCTACTTCATGAAGGAGGATCCTGAACCGCCGAGAGCCGCGCCGGAAGGACATCTCAAGTCCTTCCTTCGAAGTGCCGGCGACTGGCGCAGAAGGGAATCCTGGCCCTGCAACGACGCCTCGACTCCCGCCGCCGCCCTCCCCCTCCTCCTCGATCCCCGCCGCCCTCCTCCCCCCCGGCGGCGCATGGCGTTTCGGGCCAGAGAGCCTCAGGGTCTGAGGGCGTGCAATTGGGCAGCGAGTCCGAGGCTGTCTGTCGCAAACGCTAGGATTATGAGCTTAATTGACGCGGCTGAGTGCTATTATCCTGCTTCCCACTTTTCTTGTCTTTTTCACGAATAAATACAACATAAAGGCCGTTTCAATGACATGTAAATACACATTGACTTCATAAACGCAAGCACTTAATCACAAACATACAGACGCACGTACACACATATAAGCACACAGTCCATGATGACCCGGGCAGGTCGCCCTCCGGCCGCCGGAGAGCCTCGTCCGGACGCTCTCGGACCCAAGAGGCGCGAGAGGCACCCCCACCCCCCCACTGAGCCGCCTCTGCCTAGAACGTCACCCTTCGCAGCGCCAGGCCTCCAGGCGAGCTCTAATGGTACCTTAGTTCACCCTCCAACTCTCCTCTCTTTCTCCCGCCTCGCCCTCTTCCCTCTCTCCTCCCTCCTTCCTCCTTCCCTCCCTTTGCCTCCTCCAGATGACACTCGTTAAGTTAACAAACCTTCCTCGTCTCTCCGATTCACTTGAGGCCTCCGAGGCCGAGGCCGAGGGGGAGCTCCCTCCTTCGGCCGCCCTCGGGCTCTCACCTCGGACCGGCAGAGAACACAGCGCGCAGAGAACATCGGGAAGGGTTAGGGCAAAGAGAAGAATGGAAAGGCAATTGAAAGAAAGAAGAAATGGGAAAAATTAAAGAGAGAGAGAGGGGGGAGTGAGAGAAAGAGAGAGAGAGAGAGAGAGAGAGAGAGAGAGAGAGAGAGAGAGAGAGAGAGAGAGAGAGAGAGAGAGAGAGAGAGAGAGAGAGAGAGGGGGGGGGGGGAAGTGAGAGATAGAGAGGGGGAGAGAGTGAGAGAAAGGGAAAGAGAAAGAACGAGAGAGAGAGCGAGAGCGAGCACGTGACCCCGCCCCCTACGCCGCCCTTTCCCAGGCCGCCGATCCTTCGTCCTCTTCATTATCGCTCTCTCGCTTTTGCTTTCATTCTCATTCTCTCTTTTTTTCATTTCCATTTCGTTTTAACAAAAAATAATAATCATCATTCAGGACATCAATCTGTCCTCAAAGGAGTCTAGATTTTGCGTCTGTTTCTAAGTTTCATTTGAAGGGCTATCAGCGAATTCTCTGTCTCTGCCTCTGCCTCTGTTTCTGTCTCTCTCTGTCTGTCTCTCTCTCTTTCTCTGTCTCTCTCTCTCTGTCTGTCTCTCTCTCTCTCTCTCTCTCTCTCTCTCCCTCTCTCTCTCTCTCCCATTCCCTCCCTCCCTCTCACTCTCCCTCTCCCTCCCTCCCTCTCCCTCTCCCTCTCCCTCCCTCCCTTTCCCTCTCCCTCTCCCTCCCTCCCTCCCTCTCCCTCTCCCTCTCCCTCCCTCCCTCTCCTTCCGGGGGCGCGACGCTCTCCGCGCCGCCTGCTAATTGGTCCCAGCCATCACGAAGCGATCCGCGGGGACCTCTCA